CTTGGTTTTGTTTTTCCTCTGGTTCATTCCAAAAGAATATTCCTGTTAGCTCCAGTTAGATGATGGGTAAAGAGTGAGAGTAATAATCACAGTATGTCTTGCTTGCATCCTGAGCAATTCAGAGTCAAACAAGCAAAAAACAAAGTAGTAGCATCAGAAGCTGAGCTGACATCATCATCATCAAGAGTAGCAACAAACTGAAAGGATAACAGGCAGCAACTGGAACACAGGAAGTTCCATACTTATGTGAGGAAGAATTTAAGTGTCATAGTGACAAAGCACTGGAACAGGCTGCCCAGAGAAGTTGTAGAGTCTCTTTCTCTGGAGATATTCAAGACCTGTCTGGATGCCTACCAGTGTGACCTGCAGGGAACCTGCTTTACCAGCAGGCTTGGACTCAATGATTTCTAAAGGCACCTACCAATCCCTATAGCTGAGTCTGAGTGCTTTAGCTTAAAAACTAATACACTTGTCATTAAAGCTTAAAGACTGAAAAAAAATGACAGAAACCTCATTCCACTTTTACCTAAGATGGGAAGAGAGACAAAATTTGCCTTGCTAAATTGTCATTACCAGAAAACATACTTACCATCACTGTAATCAATGGGTGCATAAGCTCCTAGGAAAAGGGAAGCAGCAAAACTGCTAACTAAAGAGATCCTCTGAAAGAAAAAAATAGCGAGATAGTGATTCTCATCAGTACTGACTTCAAAGAAAGAAAATAACTTAATTCGAAGCAGCAAATGTTAATGAATGCTTAATGTTAGGCAGAATACACGTAGAAGTACACCTCCAAGGATTATTCAGTTCTATATTCCTGCTGAAGCAACATGGCAGACATCAGTTTAAAGGAAACCCTACGATAAAAGCTGTTAATAGCTTTGCATTCTGAAACATGCAAAATACACCTAGTATATTAGCATATTCTATGTTATCATGAATTAATTCACAACTGAGGTATATTCCAGGATCTCACTTCAAGGAAAAACACTCACAAGAAAAAAACAGTGATGTCTGGATGATTGGGGAAACAGCCACACACACACTGGTCAACCTGGAGTGCAGGTCTGCAAGGCAAGGCTCTGACAGCACCTCCATCCGAACTCTTACCATGCCAGCAGAGATGACAGACCTCCTAGGATTTACTTCCAGGAACTGGTAATGTGAACTAAATCAGTATCCGCTGCTCTCCCTCAGGTTTATGTTTCAACAGTGCATTAGATGCTGCAGGGCTTCTAGCACCAGCTCTAAAATGCCCTGGTCACATAACACAAAACACTGATGCAACATGAACTCACCTCCATTTCAAGTCTGCTAGAGAAACTACGAAGTTAATCAGCTACTGCTGAGCTTTCGGTAGGATCGAGTATTACCTGCCCCCAGAACCTGGTATAAAAGCTAACAAATCCCTTATTGCGCTCTCTAATTCAAAAGAGTTACAATTGTCACCCAACAACTAATCAGAATCAAATCTCTACCAGTAGAATGAGCCAGCAGTGACAGGGTTTTGTTATTAATGACCATGAAACCACTGCTTCGCATGGCATTCAGAGATGTACTACAGCCAGAGTTCAAAAATGTAGTTATAATGGCCAGGAAACTTAATGATGCACTTGCTCTTCATGCATCTCTCCCCAAGAATATATCACATTGTGCTTAGATAACAAAGGCCTACCTTCTGCGGTGCCCCAATGGGCACAAGCTGCCTGAAATGGAAGGAAAAGGATGAAGTTAAACTGTGAATCAGCCAGTTTATCAAGCTGACCTAGAGGAGGAAAGGTATCCACCTTCCACATGCTACTGAAACTACCAAGCTGCTAAGTGTTTCTTGTGGGTTCCTAAGAGCAACTCCACCACAGAGACATTTGTGCTAGAACGCAGCTTCTTGCAGATCCTTAATAGCCAAAAACATGGCATCAGTGCCACCAGCCCTGTCTTAGCTTAGTCTGAGCAGTTCTCAGTTCCCAGGGACTCACCCCCCACCCTGCCCCTGCCATTAATGTATCTTTCTCCAAACTTATTCTTAAGCTTACAATCAAATTGTATTAATCCCCTGTTTCATTCCAGCCTTTACCAGTATAAAAAAATTATACTATGAAACAAAAATAAAAAAAAAAGACAGTCAAATTTGCAACTCACTTCCTCACAAAATTAAATATTTCATGCAGGAATAACATTTTAAAAAGTTATGATCAATACTAACAAGAACTGCAGTAATGTAAAAGTACAAGCAGTCTGACTTCATAGGTCAGGATGCATGGCATACTCTACTCACAGGACAGGAGTCTCTTCCTTGTTTAAATCATATCTGCATGGAAGTCTCACCTTGTTTCAAACTATTTTAGTCACAGCTAGATGCAGACTTAACAAATTGAGGTAATGGAATTGTACATAGATTTTTAAAAATTAAAAAAAAAAATCAGGAGGAAAGTAAACAATGTGATTCATTTGTAATAAGAACCAAAGTAACTCTGCAAGGGAAAAATTTCTGAAAAAAAATCTAGAATTGATTGCAGTTGTTTCCTATGCATATCTGCACGGATGCCAGCTTTGTATGGCAGAACAACCACGCTTCTGTATGCATACAACCAGTTGTCACTATTAAAATTTCATCTGTGTGCTTAGTTACCCACTCATATTTGAACTGTTATATTTTCCAGCCTATGGGCACTCAAATAAAAGCCTGTTATAAAACTTACTCCACAAAAGCTAGGATCCGATGGAGCCCACTGCATTACATCAACATTCAGGAATTGATGCCTGATTTGTATCTGCCTAATGACCAATAAATCCACAAAAAGTAAAATTAAAAAAATCACAGAATTTTATCTTAAAGCAAGCACAAAAGTAAAAATATTTTTTAGGGGGGAAAAAAAAAAGTGACATCTCCACAAAATTCCACTTAAAAGATTTTCAACTGTGATTTCCAATAAGTATATTGAAGTTGAGCCAACCTCAGTTTGTGCGTAGACCTCAGGATTCTGGTTGTAAATCTTTGCTATCTGGTTTCCTGTAAAACGCTGAGAAAGAAATGCAAATGCTTAGAAACACAAACCTTAAATGGAGTCAATAATCATTAACTCTGTGTAATGAGTTCAGTACATTGCACTTTGGATATTTAATTTGTCTGATGCATGATGAAAGTCAGTGCACAGCAGGCAATCTTCACTCAACAGGCTATAACACATGGTCTCATTATGAGAATTTTGCTCACCTTTAAAAAAAATCTGAGAAAAAAACATTACTATACATAATTTACATTTCAGAAATGACAGTTCAGTGGAATGAATTGTCTTATTACATGCCCAGGAACTAACACTATTCAAATGCTGCCTTCACCTTCTTAAAAAGGTTTAGGCTATCCAACTTATGAGCCTCTCTGTGAGGAAGGTAAATGGGAACAGGCAGGAAGTTTTATACTTAAAGAAGCAACATCAGTACAAGATATTAACAGCTTTGAGAAGAACTATTTTTCCTTCATATATTATATCAAATAACTAAAAAAAAAAACCCATAATACTGATCTTCCAAAACCTTAACCTTTAGTAAGTTAAAAATAAACCATTAGTAACTATATAAAATCTGATTTCAAACACTGGCTATAAACCTTTCATGATTCAAAACCAGAATGAGAATTCTGGGAGGTTAGAGCCTTACTTTACTGAACTAACAGTGAGAGCAGACAGGTGCAAAGATGCCTGCAGGGCAGCCCCACTCCCACTCCATAACTCTTTGTCATGGTTATAAGAGAGGGAAGTGCTGGGAAGATGAGATGAGTGACACAGCACTCCCTGATAGAGTCCCAAACTTCTGAAAGTCTCACTTTTCTTAGGTTAACAGCTGCTTGTTAGCCTTCATGGAACATCAAAAGGACAAACTAAATTACAGAAGTAACCTAGAGCAGTGATCCCAAAACACTGAGTCATTAAACCCAAGTAAATCTGTAACGCAAAGTGAATTGTGATCCCAATGGAAACCTGGCTGCACAGGAGCTCCCAGCAGAGAGCTGGACCCTGAGACTATAAGTATGGACACTGATCTCCACCTTTGGGGAACCACAGGCCAAGAGCAACAGCTTAATCCAGCTTACTCCTGCACTGCTTCTTGTAGTAAAATTTCCAGTGTTTTGCCTAATTTTACTTGAGAGTTTCCACATCTTTCTTCATGAGCTTATTGCAAAGCATGCTACTGTTGGAGTTTCTTCCGAAATACTGAATAAAACTGCCTCTTTTACAGTTAACAGCTGATCACTATCTGCTGTGATGTGACAGAATTGTTTCTGGTCAGAAGCTCTGCTGAGAACTTTCTTGTCATTGCTTCTTACCTCGTAGGCTCGAGAACCAGTGATATTTGCTAAGTGCTGTGCTCCTCCCACAGCATCCTCCAGAGCACTGCACTGTAAAGCTGTGCTAGAATCCATCCAGATGGGGCTGTTACTGACAGCAAAACAAGCCTGGAACAAACAATATTCTTTAACAATAACACCTGATCTCTAAGTCCCTACTGAAACAATAACAATACAGCAGACAGAGGTGTCAGCTCACAGGTCGGTTCTCTGATGTCCTCTCAGTAACTTAGAGGAAAACAGTATTGGCCAGTGGTGGAAAGCCTAACCCAAATGTCACACCTGAGAGAAGCAGCAGATTTTACCTGCTAGTACATCACACACACCCTGCAGCTGAGTGTACCATAGCAATGTATCAGTATATTCCTTTGGTGGCCAAAGTCCCAGGATGTTTTATACAAGCTGAGACTCACTTTGACAAGCCTCTTCCCTCAACAGTTAGATGATCTTTCTAGAGCACTTCTAACAGATTTCTCTTCACTGATTGGCATAATCATTAAGCAAAACAAGTGAGGCTTAGTACATCACCAGATAGCATTTTCATTTCCTTTCCAAGATTTCTGCATAGATGAGGTATCTCTAAAATTAATCATTTAATAGACCAGCTTACACAAATGCCTCTTTCAATATTCAACTGTTGTTACTGATCTGAGATTCATAGAATATCCCAAGTTGAAAGAAATTCACATGGGTCATTGAGTCCACCTCCCAGCTCCACACAAACCAAGCACAATCCAAACCCTCTATCTGAGAGCAGTTTCCAAAGGCTCCTTGAGCTCTAGCAGCTCAAGGTTGTGCCCACTGCCCTGAGCGAAGAATATTTTCCTAACAAGCCCTTCCCTCTCATGGCAGGCAGTGTTGGGCCTGATTCACCCCAGGACACAGCTGCATATTGATCTTGAACTACAGAAAGGACTTCAAAATGAAAGCTGTTTTCTCCCTATTTTTCAAATACTAATTTGTCAAGTCTACGTGCAAAATATATCAAACCCCTCACTCCAAAAAAGTACTGAGGTTCAACAATGTATTTGGTAGGAGATTCTGTCTTCTTCTAACATTTCAGAGCTAAGTGTAAACTTTTTTTTTTAATATATATTTTCTAATGAAAACTCAAGCACTGCAGGGAAACTCTGGTACAATAATATTCTTCACCATTTTTTCTTTTAATACAGATTTTAAAACTTACAATATTTACAGGTTGTTTACAAAAATGTTATGTTTAAAGAACAAACAGGCTCTAGCTCTGACATAAAAAGATTCTGGAATGCCTACTGGCACCTATAAGCTTTTAAAACAGTATATACTTTCACTCAAGAGAACAGGAAATGTCAGGAGCTCTGGAGCTGAAGGAATAACCTGTACACTTCACTTTATACTGCAGGGGATTGCAACCAGAGAAAACGCTTGCAGGGAAAAAAAAGCAATGCATGAAAACCAGGAAAAGGACAGCATAACTCTCCTTTCAAAGCTCTTCCATGAACATTACCTTCAGTGACTGATGTAAAGGCAGCTCCGGTGATACACCCTTTAAGATTTGGATACTTCCTTTCTTCCAATACACACTTCCATGTTGCTGTAAGAAGTGCAAAAATACAAGTTGGAGATAGTCTCCCAGGATATGAACTTTGCAGCTTGATCTGAATTTGAAGCTCTTAGGGACAGAGAACTCTCTCCAAACTACAGGAAAGAAAATGTACTTTCTCAAATCAAGTGCCTCATATCAAAGGTCTATTTGAGACTGAGCAAACCAGAAAACATAGGAGTTGAGACAAATATGACTTTAAACTACAGCAACTTTTAGTGGAAGCTGTTATCACACTACTAACCCATGGCATTAGCTACTTTTTTTGAGGTCTCTTTCAGCTGTAACAAGAGCTGCACAGACTGTTTGTTTCTGGCTCTACCTGCACAGACCTCAGGTCCCTCAGCCATGTGCCCATCCCAGTCACTGCTAACACCGAACAACTTGTTTAACCTCCAACTCTCAAAAGCCTTTCTAATGTCAGACAACTCTAGTTGTTCATCTGTAGATCACCCAAAGCAAACTATAAGGCACCATTCAGCAACCCACTAATGATGAACCTCCCAGGCCCACAATTCTTGACCCACATTGTGATCTAGATTGTATCAATGTTCCTGTTCCAGTTCTGCTGACAACTAAGACCAAAACTGGCATGCTGGTAACCCTCTGCTATCTGTTTGGCAACACAGAGACAAGATTCTTAAGAGAAAAGGAAGAATGACAATGTGAGTTGGAAGGTAGCAGTTAAATGAAATCTGGTCTACCTGAAAGAATCTGAATGTAGCAATCCCAAGTTACAGAACCATAGAATGGTTTTAATTTGAAGAAAGAAGTTGAAGCATAGGGAATGCTGGCAATTTGGAAAACCAAATCCTACTTCTGCTTGAGAAAGCTGCACTTTCCTTCGAGTCCCTAACTTTCATCTCACCAAGGAATTTCTAACAAAGTCTTGACGCAAGTTATTATTTTCAGACACTTTGTTCCAGCAAATAATACACGGAGATCAAAGCAACAATTTAGATTAATTAGCCACAGATCTACTTAATAACCTAGCTCTCATGTGTCAGAATTAGCTATGACTTTGGTGGTGTCCTCACTTTGAATACAATTTTAAAATCTGTGGAAGGTGTAAAAGTTTCCCTGTTTCACTACCAGAGTATTAGGAGACAAGCAAATTAACTAATTATCAGGATGGGTTTATAAATCTGAACAAAAAAATTAAAAATGTCAGAACAAATCATGGCAAAGGTAGAATATTTGTCCTCATTGCAAAGGCAAATCTCTGTCCTAATCAATAAAAACCGTGCTCAACAAGACTTTACTATGCCTTCAGCAACCTCAGCTAATCACTTTTTTTCTACCCTGTTTCTACAAGCACCTAGATATGCACAAAGTTATCCCAGTCACTTCAGATCTGCATATATAAAGAATTTAAACAATAGGAAGCCAGCTATTTATGCACTATACAGTGCAGTTGTTTAGATCACTAAGTCTCATCCTCCACTCCCATTACCTTCTATAGATTGCTCCATATGCTTCAGGTTTTAGGCTCCCTTGAGTGATGCATGTCCTTTAATGGCTGCTTAATATGGAAGTTTTGATATTACTTGATATTTTAAAGATCTACCATAATATGGAATGGTTTTAAACTGAGACAGGGAAGGTTTAGGTTAGATATTAGGAGGAAGTTTTTCCACACGACGGGTGGTGACACACTGGAACAGGTTTCCCAAAGAGGTTGTGGATGCCCCATCCCTGCAGGCATTCAAGGCCAGGCTGGATGTGGCTCTGGGCAGCCTGGTCTGGTGGCTGGTGACCCTGCACATAGCAGGGGGTTGAAACTAGATGGTCATTGTGGTCCTTCTCAACCCCATATGATCCTATGATATAACTATTAAAAAGAAATATATGACTAGATAGTATGCCTTCAATAGAGTATAAGTTAAGAGTGATTTATCTCTTTATGAACTAACCTGGCCGGCACCAGACAAAGCTCTGACTTGAGAGAAGTTAAATCCTGAAGACTTCATCTTTTCCAAAATCATATCCAGAGCCTACAAAAACAAACAGAATCAAGAATGACGGTAACGAGATATCAAATTATGCATACTCACAGTCCTTGGGATTAAAGAGTAAACTCATGTCATCACTTGTAAGACTTCATTGGCAGGTAATGAAAAATTAGCTAATGACTATGGATTTCAAGAAGCTGCATACATTAATTAACTAAGTAAGAGTCCATAAAAGAAAAGTTGAATCACAAAGAGAGAAAAAAAATCTTTAAACAAGCTGAATCACAAAGAACCATTCTTTGAAATCTAAATAAAAGACAAGATTTAATAAATTCCAATTCATTTAAAAGCAACTATTAAGAGAGCCAGATACAAAACGTGATTAACTTTTTCTGTTCTTACTTTTGGAAATTTTTGACACTTTTAATGGCATGCAACCTGCAAGTCATCCTACAGGATGCTAAAAAGCAACCTCAATACCACCAACTCCAGCATCTGCTGAAAGTACATTTTTGCAATGAAGTACCTAGGTTACTGTTGCTCTTTTTCTATTTTACTAAAATTTAAAACCAAAAATCAATCTGTCTTTATTTAGCCTAATTCAGATCTGCATTTCTCAGACTTTCTTGATAGATGGACCACTATGCTTCAAAATTTCCCAAGAAACCATATATCATTATCATACACTAATTTAATAAATAAACTGTTTATTATGTTTCTACAGACTACCTGCAACCAATTTACCAAATCTTCATGTATTATCAGATAGAACTGCTGTGGATCACCAACTGGGAATTCTGTGACCTTTTAAATGCCTTTAACTATTCAAATCACAATAGCGCCATGCGAGAGCAAGAGTTGCAGAAACTGCTTTCAAAACAGCAGACAATGTTATCTGTATTTCAAAATAAATGCCAGTCAAGATGACTGGGAATTACTAAATAAATTGCTCTTCAACCACTTGCCATTTGAGACATGAATTAGTTAGCAAAGTTCATTCTAAAGAGACAGTGCAAGTAACTTGGATGCTGCAAAGCCACAGTAAAGCTAGGCAATGCTTCCTATAACAGAAAGGAAGAAGCTGAACCATATACTACAAATACTCCCAGAAGGCTGGCATAACTGCTTGTCCATACCTTGACCCACATTAGCACAGGAGAAGTGACTGTCAGTCGGTCACTGTGAACATGGGCTCCACCTTGAGTCCTACAGAAAAACAGTATTTCCTTAATAAATTCAGTACATTTTTCCCCATCAAGCAAAGTTTGTCAAGTTTATTAACGACTAAGAGAGCTTGCAATGTTGTTTGGGGTTTTTCTTTTTTTGTCAGGAGCAAAGAAAAGACCAGAGTTTGAAACCTGAAAAAGACCAGCTCTTAGGAAACAGCATTAGAGAGAGACCCAATGCTAAAGAAAATAAGTTGCAAGGAAGAATTTCAGTCCTGTTGTAAGATCTGTGATAGACTCTAGTGCTGATGCTGCTTATTGGCTCCACACAAGTAACAGTTATCTCTAAGTTTCCTAACTGTCACCATTAGTGACTTAAATCTAGAAGATGAAACTCAATTTTTTTGCTGTAAGCAAATGTATTTTACTGACACTTATGACCACAGCCAATGGAATTGGTAAATTCTCATCTATAAATCAGAGTTTATATATTCTAATGTGCCATTTGGAGCCACTGAATCAATCTGTCTTCAAAAACCTTTTTGAAGTTCCTCTCATGCAATTTATTCACTTTATCACAGCATTCCATCCTGACACAAAGGTGGTGATTACATGTGTGTCCCAAAAAGAAACAGCCACCTACAAAAGTCCCAAATGAAAAAATACACACTGGTTAGTTTACACATAATGCCTTAGGGTGAGAGGGTCTTTTTATTTCCTCTTTTTCCTCTTGTGAATTCTTGCCATACTTACATACCAAGCAAGGTAAGGGCACAAACTTCACTTGTGAGGAACAAAACACAAACACAGCATAACTACTTTCACATATCCACACATTCCAGTGAGAGCAAAGCAGGCAACAGACCTGTCTCAATACTCAAAGTTCTAAACAAGATTAGCCAAGTAAAATACAAAAAAAAAAAAAACTAAACTAAAACTTACTTAAATTCTGGAAGGTCTTTATCAAAATTAACATTATCCTCATAAATGACTCTCAGATGTTCATCAATAGCAATGACTTTCAGCTAGAAGAAATAAAACAGGATGTTAACAAAAACTGTCCAGCAACATAATTAGATAGCACTGGTAATTCATTTATAGTAACTCAATTCTCACAGATAAAAGGGGAAAGAAGATCACCCCAATCCATACAAATGACTATAAGTATGGACACAATTTTACATGAAAAAAGTCATTGTGTGAATTTACAGCATATCAGTTATCCAGCAATGTGTATTTGCTTGCATTTTCCCCTACACTTTCTCTCTCTAATTACACTAGAATAAGATGCAAGGTATAAGAAAAAAAAACAGTAAATGAGATACACCATCCCTAGCTTCCACCACAGTTACCAATCTATCCAAGGAATACAGTATCTTAGGTTAAACATGTCATATTTTCTGGGTGTTTTTCTTAATAGCCTCATCTTTGATCATAGGGCTGGAGCACCTCCCCTATGAAGACAGGCTGAGGGAGCTGGGCTTGTTCAGCCTGGAGAAAAGAAGGCTGTGGGGTGACCTCATTGCAGCCTTTCAGTACCTAAAGGGAGCCTATAAGCAGGAGTGGAGTCAACTCTTTGAAAGGGCAGGTAATGGCAGGACAAGGGGAAATGGCTTTAAGTTGAAGGAGGGAAAATTTAGGTTGGATATCAGGGGGATCTTCTTTACTATGAGAGCGGTAAGGTGCTGGAACAGGCTGCCCAGAGAGGCTGAGGATGCCCCATCCCTGGAGGTGTTCAAAGGCCATGCTGGATGGGGCCCTGGGCTAGCATTAAATATGTAGATTAGTGGCCCTCCCTGTGATGGGGAGGGGGGGATGGTTAGAGATTCATAACCCCTTCTAACCCAAGCCATTCTGTGATCCCTTGATTCTGCAATCTTACTCAAGAACTTTGCAGACCTTTAAAACACCTTGATGATCTTCCCTCACTCCCTAAGCAGGGATTAAGCTGATGTCCACCTGGCAAAGCTCAGAGGACATTACACAGCTGCACACTTAGTTTCTGCAGCCAATGGAAAGCAACATCCCAAATCTCAAGTCCATCAGGCTGAGCTTTCTGCAAGCTGTGGCTAGGAGGTACCACAGACCTTCCCACTCTAGCTTTTCTCAAGTTCAGCTAGTGATGAAAAGAAACCTTAACAGTCTCAAATAAAAAGCAAGAATGTAGCTCATGTCCTGCATACATTTTAACAAAGGAAAGAAGGCAAGCTGCTGCTAGACCAACAGTCTGAAAAAAAGCTACAGAGATCAAGTCATCTCAAAGATCCGTATTCAAGTAACAAAGCCATCACATTTGGGGGTGGGTGATTTCATTTTTGCCATACTAATGTAGGGCCTCATTTATGCACTACCACAACTCATTACCAAGTTGGTGCACTGTGCTAGCTTTAACACAGCTCTGACCAACTGCAGCTTAATTGGCTTTCTGCTCGCTATGTACTCCCTTAAAAATACTCAATCAACTTAATATGAGTAACCTGCATATGTCTTTTCAGCACAGCCATAATGAAGTGACTTACTTACACACCTGCTGGTTAAACAAATTTGGGTTCATACACAGCATGGGAGACATTTCTCTTTGCAGCATGGTTGACACCAGACTGAGCTGACAATTCCAAAATTGAGGCATTCCAGAATTCCCAGCAATTATAAAACCCTTGGCATTAAAGTGCACAGCTCTACCAACGCTGATTTAGCCACGTGGGCAAAAGGACAAGAGGCAGAGGAATGCAGCCCGCTTCGGAAGCGCGGCTTCAGACAAACAGCAGCAGCACATCGCTAGAAGAGGTGGCCCAACAACCTTACGCAGGTAGCTGGAGGCATGCGGAACGCTGGACGGATGTACAGCAGCCGGTGCTTTACAGCAGCCAGCGAGAGGCGGTGTTCCCGACTCGGGAAGAGGAAGCGCTGAACTCCCGGGGAGCAGCACAGCACAGCACGGCCCGTTACAGCGCTGGCAGCCGGCTCCAGCCCGCAGGAAGCAGCGGCGAAGCCGCGTGAGGAAGGAGAGAAGGAGGAAAGAGGCTGCGGTACCTGCTGCGTGCTGAAATCCCATCCCAAGAAGCAGGGGGCGGCCATGTCGAGCCCCGCCGAGCAGGGAAGGGGCGGCCTTAAGCCCGGCCTTCCCCCGGAACGGAGCTCCGCAACGCAGCGGCTGCTTAAAGGTGAACCCGAGTTAATGAGTGCTCAGCTGCGGCTGGGTGAGCAGCGGCAGGTTCTGTGAGTCTGCAATCAGGAAAGGTGCAGCTGGAGAAAGCTGAAGCACCGATCTGTCTGAAAGCGAAGGCGTGTCGAGTGGTCACCCGGTTTGTAGTAACGCTTCTTTAGATCAGAGGATTGCAGTGGTTGGTGCTGCTGGGATTCCCCTGTTAGTGAGGAGCTCGTGCTGGGTGGACCTTGCTGCATGTTTCCTATGAATAAGGACTAGATATGGAATTGGAAGGCTTGAAATGCTGCCGTTTTTAATGTATGGCTGCTCACAAAAATAAAATAAAGCATTGAAGTCACAGAATCACACACAGGCCTGGGTTGAAAAGGACAACAATGATCATCTAGTTTCAACCCTCCTGCTATGTGCAGGGTCAGCAACCACCAGGCCAGGCTGCCCAGGAAGTCAGTCCTAAAGAAAGCCCCAGGAATGATGAATCGCTTTGGAAAGAGACAGCTGTGCAATTTTTAAAAGATGGTGTTAGTGCTGAAAAAGGAAACAGTATTAATAAATATATAAAGCAATCCTGTGAGAATGTAAGAATCAATCCTGTCCTTCAGCAATGAGATCGTCCAGTGGTCAGACTGCTGTGTGAAATGCTTTGCTTTAAACAGCACAGAAAAGTTACAGGATTGGGATGACAGCCCCAGTGTTATCAGATCTTAAATTTGGAATTAGTGTGGAAGAATCCATAAGGATACCACAAGGACAGAATGGGAAAGTTAATTATGCTACTTTTTCTGTTCTAATGAAAATCAGGATGTTCTCAGAACCTCATTCTATCACTCTTACACTTATCACTACTCTTTATATATTAAAATATTATATATTACTCTTATCATCCCATCAGGTCAGCATTCTCTCAGATTTAATTGCTTCTATATGGAAAACTGACATTGCAGCTTTTCTTTCTGCATTAAGGCTTATGCTGGCGGTCACTGCCATAACCTCTAAAATTGTTTCTTGAAAGCAAACAAGGATTAGAGCTCTGCAGTTATCGCTGAAGTCTCATTCATGTGCAACTGATGTTTTGGTACTGACGAGTCCAAAATTTCCAGAGAGCATGGTTAAAATGTCACCATCACAGATTAACAGTTTGAGGCACAGCAAAGATTAATCACTCATGGCACATATACTACAGTGAAGGGAAAAGTGGGCTTCTTCCCCTTTTCCTATCAACCAGTCTCAGCAGTTTTGCACAGACCTGGTATGACAAAGCAGCAATACTGCTATGCTTTACTAGGCCTCCAGCTGTTTTGGTAAATTTTAACTATTAAGCTAACTAATAATATTGATTTCGCCCCCAATCTAACTACTGTGCTTCAGAATCATCCCATCATCTGAAGGATACCAAAACACTAGGGAACAGCAAAACCAGACCTTTGTTTGATACTAATTAGCATTACCATACTGACTGTAGTGCAGTCCTGATGTATGTGGGCTACATAATTGAATGGTAAGTGAAAATTTTTACACCTTCATAGGAGAAGTCCACAAGCTGCTTCAAAGCTACCCATCCTTTTGCTTCCAGCAGATTTTGGGCCTCTACCTACTTAAGACAGCTAAATATTCTCCATCCTGAACAAGTACTTCATATTTGTACATCAGCAGAGGTTGGCTCAACACAAACAAGACAGCACTGCATGTAGTGCATATACACAGCTGATATCCCTACAACTAAGGCAGTCCATGCTAGAGCTAGCATTGTTAGGCTTGGTGGCACAACTGTGCTTTTTCCCATAAGAAATATTACGGGTCTTTAATTAGCCTCAGAAACATCAAAGTGTACTAAGTTGGGTCAGATAAATTTCTGCCTATTTGCCAGCGAGTCTGACAGTCATATGCAATGCTGCAAATTAAGTGGGAGAATGTTTATAGTTCTAGGTTCTATGTAACATAACAATAATACTCCACCTTAAGGAAAAAAAAAACACCTCAGTGTGAGCACTAGAGCTACCTTCTGGAAAGATACCTGAACAACAGTAATTCTTTAAAGGTCATCCCTTTTCTACTTAGCACCACCAGTATTCTGTTATCGCAGTTTTCAGCAATGTTCAACCAAGTGCTGATAATTCAAAATACCACAGTACCATAAATTAAAATACAAAGTTGCTGTTGTTTGTAATGAGATGACACTGTAACATCAAAAATGTTTTCCCTTCTGTAAATATGCACTTATCCACCAAAGTTACTTTTATACTTTATGCTAACAGTTGTGTTTGTTCATACCTCCAAACACTGTAGAGAACCTCATCTTTCACTCTGCAAGAATAAATACTTATTGTTTAAAAGTAATGTATCAAGACTGTTGTTATCCACTAATTTTAGTGATTGCACTGTGAATGAGCAAAAGTTTATAAGACAAAGATCCAGCAGAAGCCCCTTGCATGAGTTCCACTACAGGAAGCCAAAACCACATTTTTACCTTGGGACTGAAGACATACCTTATTTAGGTATAGAAATTATCTGCAGTCTTATTGTAGGATTTAGTTCTTGGCACGTGTATACTCAAAATCCCAGGTGTTGGACTGCATTAACTAACTAAGGCTCATTAAGAGGCCACCCCTTATGAAGAACTGGCACAGGGTTTCATATAATAGCCTATGAAAGCACAGGAACAATGGGTACTTGCAAAGAATTGAAATGTTGGCCTTGCTGCCCAATCTGTTGGTTATACTGTCAGTTTCATGTATATTGGTCAGGTCAGAGCTTGTACTAAATCATGTACATAAAATCCTCCAATTTCATTTCTACTAATTTCAGTAGAAATGTATTGAAACCTGTTGATTTCAGTAGGCGCTGAATCAGGCACTGTGGAATTGCTTCTGGTTTTACATACTCTAGTTTTACAGATGTCATTTCATTGACTTCAGTTATGTTACCAGTGATTATGAAGTGCAGAACAAATTTCTCATGAGATCTCTGCAGGGAAGTGAAGGATGTTTCTGACTAGCAAATTATTTTTAGGACACTCTCCTCCTCTGTACAGATTTCAAGTCCACATTCACTCCACAATAGTGGTAGCACACAACCATCCTCTTTGGAGGACTATCTTAACCACAGTCATTTGCAAGGCTTATTAAATCTTACCCACCTGGCAGATTTCCTTCAAGAGGAATACTGAAGTGGTTTGTGTCCTAAAGCCCAAAAGCAAGATGTTGTCATCCTGATAAAACTTTTCATTAACAACAGATTAACCAGTTCTTTCGTGCTGTATCTGATTCTTATCACACTTCGCTTACAGATAAGTACATTTTATTGATTAAAAACAATCAAGGGTAAATTAATTCCTACTCAAACAATGCCTTAAGTGGAAAAAAAATAAGAGCCAAGCCTCGCACTTTTTAGCACTATCCAGCAAGAATGAAAAATTATTTTACAATCAAGGATAAATCAAATTCATGTAGTTTCCAAGTGGAAAAAAAATGAAGGCAGAATATTTATATAGCTTATCCAATCATTTTTAGACCTTATTTGAAATTGGAACGTCTCCTTGAGTTCCTCCATGCAAGTGTTTTTTGTCTGTTGCAAGAATGAATAAATGTAAGTGGCTGTCACTCATAGAGCTGGAGACATTGTAACTTCATGGGCAGGAAACACTCTGAGAAACAGTTCATATAGAAAATACACTTAGCATTACCACACATATGAGCTGTTTATCAGTACCTGGAATTTAAAACATCCAAGAATCAAGGAAACTTCAGTGAATTTCCAAAATCCTCTCAAGGCCTATTGGTGAAGGCAATTCACTTCCATCTCATCCACTTCTCATGGACGGTTTTATAATGTTAATATCTTAGAATGATAAAACCGTATGAGTTGGAAGGGAGCCTTAAAGACCATATGGTCCAATTCCCCTGCAATGAACAAGGACACCCACAGCTCTATAAGGTGCTCAGAGCTCCATCCAGCCTGAGCTTGGCTACCTCCTAGACTAAAACTAACCATTGATTTAAGAAACCCTATAACTAAGAAGAAAGGGAAACAGGAAGGAAAGATGTCAGGGTTCATTTGTTTAAAATGTCTAAAATGTAAGTAACTTCACTTTCTTCTTTGACTTCCCTCTGCACACTGTCACTCACAAAAGGGCATCTGAGGAGTTCTCAGTGGGCAACCGAAATAAAACCACAAAATGAACAGCAAATCCCAACGTTTTGGATGCTGACTGTTCAGAGAGAGAGATTCCAGTCCTACTCATGCAGACAAACAACAGAGTAAAGACAGCTAACAGAGCAAAGCTTGGCATTTTAAATTACTTTCCATAGCAGTTAACATTCCAAAGGAAAGTTAATTAATCCCCAGCACCAACAGAGTGAAGACAGAAGAACAGAGGTTTTTAAATGCTGCTTATGCCAGGCACAAAAAAAAAAATACCCCACATACAGGACATCTGCTGTATTTAACCCCTCACCATCAGCACAGTTTAATTTAATGTAGGTGAATCCATCTGAACCAGGCTCTGATTCACTTGATTGAGCTGTAGGAATCCCTGTTCATTGCAAGGGAGTTGGACCAGATAACCTTTAAAGGTCTCTTTCAACTCAAATGATTCTGTGATTCTATGAATCCAGAGATTTTGTCCCGACTGCCTTTATCACCCACAAAAAGAACCCAAAACCCACCGTGATTGTGCAAAGGAATGGCATAGCACCAAGTTTTCAACACATGCAAAACCAGATATGAGAAGCAAAAGGTCAGCAGATAAAAGAAACATCTCGAGATCATTCTGAAATCTTGCACCATGAGCTTCTTCATGCCACTATTGTGGATGTGCAGAGAATGCCATAAAATGATCTTACATCATTAGAGAGTGCTGTGCTCTGACTACTTAACCAGTCCCTAACTGCGGTGTGCTTGAAAGCTGTGCTTTGAAGAACAGAAAGATATGCACTCTTATAAAAAACCTCATTAAAAAGTAAATAATTACTATTGATTCTGCTAGTATTGTCTGGAGCACCAATAAGGGCAGCCACCCTGTTTCCATGTTTCTTATTTGTTTCTAAATTTTCTAACAATCTAATAGTTTCCAACAATTCAAGACTATGTGTAAGTAATACATATAAGTCTGTGGAAAGCTACAGAAAGGGGATTATCATAGAATCACAGAATCACAGAATGGCCTGGGTTGAAAAGGACCACAATGCTCATCTAGTTTCGACCCCCTGCTATGTGCAGGGTCACCAACCACCAGACCAGGCTGCCCAGAGCCACATCCAGCCTGGCCTTGAATGCCTACAGGGATGGGGCATCCACAGCCTCCTTGGGCAACCTGTTCCAGTGCCTCACCACCCTCTGTGTGAAAAACTTCTTCCTAATATCTAACCTAAACCTTCCTGTCTCAGTTTAAAACCATCCCCCCTTGTCCTACTATTATCCACCCTCGTAATCATAGGCACTATTATTTCCCTTCTCAGTGCCAGCTAAATCTAGATAGCTGTATTCTGTCTTTGCACCCCTCACAAACAGTGCAGGCCATGTGCCTGTAATTCCCCACATAAGGAATGTGAATAACCATATATACCTCCAGCCCCAGGTGTGCCATAAAACCCAGGGCTGCAGGAATTGCATTCAGTCATAGTTAACTGTTCTGAGCATTTCTTTTAATTATCTTTAAATCAACAGTCATTCCTACAAGAACCTTCAAACATTTTTAGAATAAAAAGTAATTTACTACTTACAAATTAATTAGTATGTGATAAAATTAGTTACATCTTTTTAAAAGAGGTTTTGCAACCAAGGTCAAGGGCAGTAAGCATCTACGTCAAGTTCTGAAAACCATTGCTTTTGGTCTGTAATATACTCACAAATTTATTTTGCCTCAAGGAAATGAAAAATTGCTCCCATTGTGTGATGGATGAACAGACTTAGGAGAAAATACAGCACTTCAGACTTCAGTGGATAATGAAAGTAAAATCACTCATAGACAATTTTAAGAGCTTGTTCAATTAAAGACAAGGCTATTTTTTAAAAATTTTTTTATTCAGAAATCTAATCATGGCAATAAGTTTTCAGAACCTACAGTACTGTTAAGAAATGCATGTAGCAATGCTAACAAGTGGCATGACTGCTTATATTCCTCAGAAACACGCAAAGCAAATTTGGGCCTCTGATGTTTTAGGACTAAGGTGAGCCTACAGTCACATCACTCCAATAGTGCCATCTGCTGCATATTTTAAAAGCACACAGCAGTCTGCAGATCTGAGTACCTCCATTTAAAGAGTGAGTGATGAGTGGCTCAAACACAAATCATCATTTCCATTTTGTGTGTATCAAAGACAAATATTTTTTTTTCCTTTTACCTAAACAGGCTGGAGTACAAAGGAAGGTGTTCCACTGCAGTATAAGAACAGAAGCCGCAGGTAAGCAATTTGCAAGCTTATGTCAGTGGTGTAACAAGAATTAGTTACATCAGCTCACTGTACATCAAAACCACAACCCCATTTTCTCTGTGATCCCCTGGATGTTAGATCTGCACCTCATTTTATGAATCATATCCTGACTGCAACTTATTCACAAACCACACGTATGTATGTGTATATACACGCCTTGATAGCAAGCAAAGTTAGCAGTGCCAAATGCATGCATACACACAAACTCCTCTTGAGGCAGAATCAGGATGCCATGCTCACAACCGTTCCCTGTAAAGGAAACAAACCGCAGCGTGTAAGGGATGGGCTGAGCAACACAAAAGCTAATCCTGTTCCTGGTTCCCCTGACCTGTTGTACCACCTGCACTCACTCTACTTCACTGGGCAACTTTTTTCTTTCATTCTGTTTTTCTTATTTACCCATGCAACTGTCTGGAAAAAGGCTGCCTTGTATAGCACACGTGTAACTGAGCGTGATGGCCTTCCATGAGCCTGAGGCAATGCTACAGTACGAGTGATCAAAAATCATAACACTTCCTGATCAGATAAAAACTCCAACTTTCAATGCTCTTCTAATGAAAGAGAGGTGGACATCTTTTAAGACAGAGTGTACATTCACGTTAAAGGATGGTATCACGGTAATTCCGCCTGCAGCACACGCTCAGGGTGTACAAGTCACTTTCTCAGGAGGTCAGAGAGCCACACAGTGTGACTGGAATTTTAAGAAGGTTGGGGAACTTTTATGGCCATTAATAATGTTTGTATTGAATACCAGCTCAAGCTGCAATGAGATTAATTAAATCTCCTGCCCCAATGCAGAAACCCACTGCCTAAAGGTCCAAAGGAGGACTCCATGTGCCAACAACTCAGAACAGCAGAAAAACAAGGCAGCCTTCTGCAGAGCACTAGTGTTTGTCACTACTGAAGGCAGAATATCAAAGCAGATACTCAAAGCCATAGCACATCAGAACAACTCTTAACACAACACATGCTTTTTCAGGGCTCAGGAGGGAGAAGATGACTTGACAAACAGTCAGCATCTGATAAACTGTTGTGCTTCCTTTTCTTTCTGGTAGGGCAGAATGGCACTGCAGCTGAGCTAAGGAACATGATTTGCAAGACACACGCATAATAGAAAGGCAAAAGCAATTAAGTGAATAAGTGAATTAAAGCAGATTTACACCTGTGAGCCAATTGAGCCTTACCAGAACCATATGCACGTAACTCTGTAGCAAGACTTTTGTCACCTGTGTACACACAGCTTCCAAACAGATTCCTAAGATCTGCACGTTTTTGAACCTGATTCAGTAAATCACTTAGAACGCAAATGAGAGCATAATTTCTCCTAGTAAGTGGAAAAATACAGCATGCAGGCATTCCTTCCACACACTGCCCTTTCACACTGCTTTTGTGCAATGCTTCTCACTGCAAGGAACCTAGCAGATGAACAATTAGATTGACACTGTGGATTAACAGTGTTTCAGCCACGCAACTCTCATGGATCCTTGTAATAGCATCAAAAGGACCTATTTCAGGGACAGAAATGTGCAGCTTATCATTCAGGCACTCTCATACTTTAACTCATAGAAGAAAAAGAAGTGTGTTTGTTTTTCTTTTTTTTTTTTAATCTTTCCCTCACTGTTACATAAAGCTCTGTTTTGACTTTGCACCCAGGAATATCTTTAGCAAGGTTATGAAGGTTGTCAGTTCAGTCTTCACCCTACTGCCCAAGACGCTGCAACAAGAATGACACTGGATGAAAGTTAAGGAAGGAGAATGGGAAGGAAAAGACAAAAAATACATGAAAAGAAACCTGAAGATTTTTTTGATGGAATTACTGTCTTGGTCAGGTCACCATGACAGCACCCCTTTAATAGTCAGCCTTGCTACATAAACCAGTATTATCCAGCCCTTTGAGCACCTGACCGTGTTCAGTGAGGTTTTGAATTTCATTGTTTTTTTTGGCAAAGCCTCATGTGTTCACAGCCTTAAGTCAACATTAAATCCAATCATAAATCCTGCTATCACCATGAAATCTGTATGCAGGAGCTCAAGGTGTGCTGCAGGAGAACAAGCTGCTTGAAATCCACAGCCTCAGAACAGACACTTCTGAAAGAAGTTACCCAACTTAGAAAAGAGAATTATTTCATCATTTAGGAAGATTTCAGATACTTTGATGTGCTTTTTTATGCCAACACAATGAAGGAAATGTCCTGCTTCTGCATGACTTTTTCTTCCTTGTGGGAACAGATGGTAAAGGCTTACAAATACACGTCTGGTATTTTTTCAGTGACTCATACCTCAGAGCTACGAGATTCAGATCATCATAAGCAGCCAACCAAGATGGATGTAAGCTTACTTGAGGAGCAGTATGACCACATAAAACAGAAGCAAAAGCTGCAATCACACATTATTGTATTTAAAACAGGTATGCTTGGATTCATAGGAAACAATGTAAATGTAGATGTAAAAACTTTATATACTGAATAATTTCTATCTTTGTTCTTTTAATGCTCAGCTTCAAGAGAGGTACAAAGTGTCTACTTTTCTGTCAGTTCAGGTTTTTTATTCTTTTCACTAACAGGCAGTCTTATGGCTCTATCAGTAAGTTTCACAGCAGAAAACCACTAAAATCAATTTGAAATAGATGAATGCATTTGATTAAAGGTTTTACAGGTTTTAAGTTAGGAAAGTAAAACTCTTAACGTTGGTGTTTATTCTTACAGCAGCCATGTACTTCACATCTATCATCAATCTATTTGTGAAATGTACTTTGTCAAATTCTTCCATCAGAACAATCAGTCGTGGGTCTTCTGTCTCTTTTTCTCTTCTTTATCTATGTAAAGAAATGCATCCTACAAAACTATAGGAGGCAATACCAAATATCAAGCAAAAGTTGGGCATCTGCTTAGAAAATAACTTCTACTAAGTAAGAAGTGGGTATCTAAGATATAATCTTGGAACAAAAGGTCCCTTTTTGAAAGTGTTTTCATTGCACAGTGCTTGGAAAATAGAAAAAGAAGTGACAGTGTATCAATCATATTTCTGCTATGCCAGACAGCTTTTGTAAAACAAACATTCAACTGTTTTGAAGTTTTCAGTTAAACTACTGCTTGCACCGACATATTTCCAGTTACTAAGTTAAAGTGATACTGAGAATACTAAATCAGTTAATGAAATTGTCTTTGAATGCAATACCAATATGCAAAACGTGCTTAATTCACCTCTGGTGTTAGTAGCCAGCTGAACAAATAGAGAACTTAGGCTATCTTGTTCTTTACATTTTCCTCTACTTTTTTCAGCAGTTCTGGATTTTGGCTGTATCTAACTAGGAGTGTTATTGAAACAATAGACAAAACACCTAATTATGAACCATAAAACATACTAGCTTCCTCAATATCATTTCACCCAAATGGCTAGAAATTCTAATGTTAAACAAACAAACAAAAAGCCTATTTAAGGAAGAAAGGGATGTGAATCTGCAAGCTTATTTTATCAGTTATGAAAAGGCAACTAACTTGAAAGCAAAGGAACAATATTAGCCAGTTAAAGAAAGGAAGCAGAGGTCTATATTCCAATGAAATTCAGATGAAACTTTGGATGTAATACACATAATCAGAGCAATTTTTTTTTTCTTTTTGGCCAGGACACTAATTGAAGACTAAAGAAAAGGCAAAGTAGGACCATACAGCTCTGAGAATTTAAAAATTTAGTAGGGCTGGAAGTTCACATGTTTTCATATGCATGCACATAGCCTAAAACATTAACAAAAACACAGAATCTATGGCAGTGAACTTCTACCTTGAATCATCTTGTGTGGAAGGGGTTAATGTTGCGTGAGAAACAGCTGAGTTCTCAGCACCACTAAAGTTAACCTTAAACATTCATGCGGTTTGGAAGTTGGAAAAACCTATTATGTAGCTTGCATTTAGAAGCTGTTACATGCATCAGTTTCCAAGACGATGTCAGGATGCAATAAACACCACTATAATGAGATAGCATACTGCCCTACACTCCTTAAGTTACAAGCCTGAGCTATCCAGAAATTCCAGCTCATACCACAAAGCATTCCATGTGTGCATTGCTTTTTTGTACTGACAGTAATAATTTCCTTGTACTGCTACCATACTCAGAGGGTAAAATTGTTGCTGAAGGGTAACGACAACAATAAGGCTACACATGCACACAAACCTTCAAGGTGAGAGACATGACGTTCCATGGTAGAAGGATGCCTTCATTCCTTCATGGTCCCAAAAATCCCTGCAAAAAGTCTTTGTTCTAACTAGTAAAACCTTGAATTGCTTCCTGCAGATAGGCCATCTGTCTTTCCATGGTGCCACAGTGGTTTTGAGCATTGCAGGTTTACAGCGCTGCAGTTGAAATAGTAACTTCAAGATTCCATAAGGACTTCCAGCTCTGCATCTTATTATCTGCCTTGTTCACCAGAGTAATGGAATTGTAAACCTTTAAACAGAATTTCAGACTCTTTAACTTTTCTAGGTTTTTGACTGGTGAGCTAGTAACTGATAAGTCACCTTAAAACAACTTGCCTCTGGTTTGTCCCCAGTACACACAGCTACATTCATATTTCTGCCAGTTCCTGATTCTTTGAGAATCTCTTGATTCTGAGATCTCCAGGTAGGGGATAATACAATAGTGTATTTATTATTCGTTGGCTAAGAAGAAGAAAAGCAGTATTTACTTTAGGAATTAAAATAGCATTCAGAGCATGCAGTAACAATGGAATAAACTCTGGACCTCTGACTGCAGAAATCTCTTCCAAGACTTCAAAGATCAACTTCTGTTAATTCAGAATCTATGATGACAGCATATGGAAAAGGTCAAATGGTAGACAACCTTACTGCAAGGCTATTATGTGCAATTCAAAAGATCTGTCTCTTCTAAAAGAAAAAAAGCTTGATCTTAATCAAGCTTTCTTCAGAAGTTCAGGGAGTGTTGAATGTGCAGTAACTCAACAGAGCATGGCTCAAGGCTCCAACATTTCTATTACAGCTCATTGCTCAACTTTGTGTGTCGCATCTGTAGCCAAGGAATCAAATCAAACCTGAACTGAAAACCAGTTCGGATTATTTGACTTGGACTGATGCATTACACTGAACTCTCTGATCAGCTCAAAACAGACTGTAATTCTTCTGATGACCAGTTCAGATAATTCGAGATAAAACCTGATGTTGCCTATAAACACGAGTTCATCTAAAAGTGCAGCGATATCTACAAGAATATGCAAAGCTGCACCCCTGAGAGTCTCTCAGTTCCTCCTTTCTCTTGCCTTTTCTCTCACATGTAAAGAACAAACCCTCCTTTGTAGCCTGGTGCTGTTCTGCAGACCTCCACTTTGCAAATGGACTTTCCTGGAAAAAGTCTGACCATAAGACTGGCCATAACTTTGTTTCATGATGCAAAATTGTGTGTTCTCATCTCTAAGAATGGCTTCACACTAGGAAATTCTTCTAGTATATTTCACTGTATAGGCATATGCACAGACAATGCTCTAAGCTTAGCATGTGCTTTTGTCTCCTCTCTCCTGATAACACTGCACGAAAGCAGAAGATGCACGCGACTCTCACTTCCCAGCTTTTATCAGATCAACCTTCTGTGGCCAACTGAGGGGCAGAGAAAATTCTATGATACTGTACAGGTGTTGTTGCTTTAGTAGTGGGATCCAAAGATAGCAGCAAAAGCCTCTCCTTAATTCAAGTCCCATTGTACAGGTTCATTTACTGCCAGTAAATCACCTGCGTATGACATCTTCAGATCGTTTCATATCGTTTGATATGAAACACTGTTAAAAAGATTTTTGCATTCGCTGCTTTTTTATGGCAACATCCTACTCCAATTAGTTTCAGTTCAAATTCAAGGTTAGAATTCTCTTAAGTGGCTATTCGGATTTTGTGTTTCAAAATATAATCAACTCTCTATGTCTGTTCTTTTTCACATCAATATATTTCATCTTTCGTACTGAAAAAAATTCAGTTCCTTTAACTCAACCCCGTAAATAAGGTCAGCATTCTTCACAACTTCTACTTTAAGCAATATTTATAGTAACTAAAGTGCATTTAATTAGTGCTTACAATGTCAACAGCACTGTTTGCTTATCTTTAGTACAATGGTTCAGATTCTATTCATTTTCAAGGCACAGAAGGCTAGTCATGTTCAGTAATTTAATAGCTGCTACATCTAATTAAGGTAGCATTAGCATTTCTATTTCTAATATCCTATGCATTTCCAGCAGTAACTTTCATAACACATTAAAAATTAAGGCACAGAGATGAGAAAAAATAATTAAGTAATAAATACCAGCCTATACTTTAATGATTCTGCACTAGGAAAAAAGAGGAAAGAAATTCAGAATATTTTTTAGTTGTGAATACAAGCTTCAAACAGTATCAACTCGAACATTTGTGTCTCTCAAGTCACACTACCAATCAACACATTAAGCAGGCCCCTCTTCACCTTAAGAATTTTTGCTTACAAACAGTTAATTACTGAAAGTCAATTCCCAATCTGTGTTGTTAATGAGTCTTAGAGTAGCGCTTAGATCAATATTGACTTGATAAATTTCCATTATCGTTTAACTGAGTCTGTGGTAGCATTCATGTCTTCAAACTGCAAAACTGAGTGAGGAATACTTCTCTGTAATCCGACATCAAAAGAGTTTGAACTACTCTTGGTCACAGATGGAAGGAGTACAGGCACCACTCATCTGTCAAAGTTCTTCAGCTGAAGCAGACCCTTAATATCTGCCACAGTACTAAAGTGCATATATGTGTTTCTCATACAGGTGAGCATGAATCCGTTCTCCCAGAATCAATGGTCAACGCTGTTTTAATTAATAAAAAAGTTAAAAATTCAAAGTCATTTACGGAACGTGTCCCAGTCAGAAAGGTGAGGCTGGAGGTAACCAGCAATGGCACTGCACACGACAGCTCACCCTGGCGTACTCACCTGGGAATTCACCGCCTGGCACAAACTCCTTGTAAGAAAGCTCCCTGGGATCTTTCCAACTGCAGGAATGAATCGTTCAGTTTTGACAATCAGAGACTGATTTCAAAGGAAAATGGCACACTGCAACGCAAGGAATTAGAAGAAGTGAGTGAACTATCCATGCTCAGTTCAAGTACGTTGAGCAGTTTCAGCAAAGAGAGTGACAGCACCATCTCAGGAACTTGCCAAAAGCCTGCTCTAAAGTCAGACACTTCAGCAGTCTGGATGCATCACCATATTTCCTCTACAAAATACATGCCAGCTTGCCACAAGTTAGACTTTTATCCTTTCCCTAATAAAAAAGCACCCAGAATTTCAGAAGCAGCAAGGAGGCTTGGATTATATGTCTCACAGTGAAGACACTCAGCAATAAATAAAGTTCAGTCAAAAATTTGAGTAAAACTGAAAACAGCAAAATAGCATTCCTAGTTACTGTAATCAACCTGCTGAAGGTCTCCTATTAGCCAAGGAAGAGCTTCACAAAATAAATTGTTGCTGTACAGTACAATCTGAAGTGAGTTGTAAGGAAGATGTTGGACTGCAACGGAAGCTCACTTTTGTTATTCCAGACACTGGAGCAATTTTTTGGGCTGTTTCCCCTCTATTTTCAGGTTACTTATTTAGAAAAAAGACTGTATCATAACATTTGAAATATCTGAGAGCTATAGCAAACATAAGCAAAACTGCTGATGAAGCAACAAGGCTGAACTTCAATATGGTACGATTTGACTAGAAAATAAAAAAATGAGCAATGAAACAGTACTGAAGGTGATTCATAAACTTAATATGATTTCATAAGTCTTTTCTCAAAAAAAAAAACCCATAATATTTAATGTATTTTTAAAAGCAATTAATAAAATCTTTGCTCACATCTATTGTTGTTTTGATGGGACACAGTAAATGGTACATTTTTCTTATATATAAATCCTGTAAAAATACATTGTTGTCTCCCTTCTACACGCTTCCATAGACACAGCTTAACCTCACATGATTGGCCTCAGCACAGACATTCAGCCCATCCAGATCCTTCTGTAGGGCCTTCCTACTTTCAGGTAAAGTAACACTTCCTCCCAACTTGGTATCATCTGCAAACTTACTGAGTGTGCACTCAATCTCCCTGTCCAGATCATCAATAAAGATATTAAACAGGGCCGGACCCAGTACTGCTGCCTGGAGAACACCACTCCTAACCACTCCATTCACCACCATTCTCTGGATGTGGCCATGAGAGCCAATTCTTTCACAGGAGATTCACAGTGGTAAGTGTTGAATCACGAAATGGTTTGGGGAAGGGACCTTAAAGCCCTCTCAGTTCCATGGGCAGGGACACCTCTCACCAAACCAGGAGCCCAAAGCCCCATCCAGCCCTGCACAGATGAGGCATCCACAGCTTCTCTGGACCTCACTACCCTCTGAATAAAGAATGTCTTCTCTTTGTCTAATCTATTTTCTTTTCATTTAAAACCATTACCTGCCCTTGTCCTATCTCTATACAACTTGATAAAGAGTCCATAGCCAATCTTCTTGCAAGTCTCCTTCGAAAGGCTACAATCATTTCTCCCCAGAGCCTTTTCCAGGCTGAACATCAACTCACTCAGTCTTCCTTCGTAACAGAGGTCCTCCAGCCCTCTGATCATCTTTGTGGTCTCCTCTCCACCTGCTCCAACAGCTCCCCATCTTTTTTTGCTCAGGGCCCCAAGCTGAATGCAGTGCTCCAGGTAGGACTATCATGTTACCATGGCACAGTATTTTGTAAGATCACAGAAAAGGAAAAACAATCATGGAATACAATGCTATTCTACCCCTCCTTGCCAAGTGCCATCTTTTCTGTGCCACTCAAAGCAGTTCCAGACCTAAATTCTATATTGTCACACAGTGATCCAGCCAGCACCAGCAGACTGGCAGGCACCTCTCTTCTGTAAGTAACCATCCATAAGACAAAGACAAAACTATATATGGCCTTTAATTCTTCAACAAAATTCTCCAGATGTACTTGTCCACTTCACAGAATCACAAAATTGCCAGGGTTGGAAGGGACCTCCAGGATCATGAGTCTCCAACCCCCCTGCCACATGCAGGGCCACCAACCTCCACATTTAATACTAGACCAGGCTGCCCAGGGCCCCATCCAACCTGGCCTTGAATACCTCAAGGGATGGGGCATCCACAACCCCTCTGGGCAGCTGTTCCAGCACCTCACCACTCTCATAATAAAGAATTTTCCCCGATATCCAACCTAAATCTTCCCTCCCTCAACTTAAAACCATTTAAAACCATTTCACTTGATCACTTGCTGTGATTTTTCAATGCTTTTCTTTTTTATGTTTTCAATTAATTGATTCCTATTTCTGAGTAGACATGAAAAATTAATAAGCAATCACAACTAACTTATAAAAAGAAACAGAATTTAAAACAACAACAAAAGAAATAAAACACAAACCAAAACCAAAAACACAGTACTAGGAGTACTAAAAAAAGAACTGAAAAAAGATAAAACACAATTATGGATAATAGGTAAAGGTATAACAGGGATAAAACACCAGATAACAACCAGCTATATGAAACAAAAAAGTACCTGGAGAGAAATATCAAAGGACAATGAGTTTTTTGAACTCTGTGGTGCACATTAGCTTTCTATTTTCCTGTCATGCTGATTACAGAGTTTATTGATTTGTACTCCAGCCTTTCATTATACCAGAGTGTTGTTTCTGTTGTATCTACAAGTCTGGAGTCCATAACAGAATCACATCAAGATAAAGGAACAACTGAAATTAAAAAAAAAAGTCACATTGGCAAGGAGCCACTATAAAAACTATTAAAAATTAAATTCAAGATCATTTTGGCAAGATAGTTGCAATGAAATACTTGAAAACATTTCAGTGAATGCAATTTAAATTTTTAAATCAGTATCACAGAAATTCTAAAATCTTATCTACCTTCTCTATACACCCATTTGACTAAATTAGTGATATTATTTTCTGCAAATACTTTTAAATTGATTTTAAAGTGCTTTGAATTAGTTATCTTAACTAAACACAGGCTTGAATACCTTGATTTAAAAGTCAGTGAAAGTTTATACACATACTAAATAACTAAATCCTTTGCAGGCACTTTCATAGAACCACTTTGTCCTTTCCTGACGCTTCTCTAGCATACTGGTGTGCTTTGTACTGACGAGCTTAATTAGGAAGGGCATTTTGCCTTTGGAAAAGCCCTTTAGTTTAAATCCCAAGGACATAAGAGAAGGAAAATTTCAGTACATTTTCATTTGTTAATGGAGTATTGTTAGTTATGAGAAACGTGGCTGAACTTGCATTTGAAGAGATTAAAATATTACACAGGTGCATTGCCTGAAAATTATTATTTTTTCCCTAAAGCAGCCTCAGTAAAAAAAAAATGAAAAAGGGAACAATTTCATGAGAAAAATGGAAAACTTCAAATATTGTGAAGTCACAGTTCTCAAACTTACCTGATTTTCAAAGCACTTTGTTGTTTGTTTTTCCATGTTTGGAACTTATGGGGAGTAAGTATCATTACTGCATTACTATAACTTTAGCAAAGTTTCAAGCACTGAATTCAAGAGTATCAGAAAAGTAAGCTGAGTAACAATAAACTTATTTTAACAGTGGGCAAATGTGACTGATTTATGCACACAGGAGACTTAGGAATCCTGAAATTCTAGTTCAGAGTTTGTGAGCAAGACACACAATACCTGTGGGACCACATAACTGCCTAAGGAATATGCTTTACATAAGAACTGACCTGCAGAGGCATCTTGTCCAAAATAAACAACACCCTTGGACAACGCTTTGCCTCACAATATCAGAGCAATTTGAACAAAAGTTTAGTCAGGCACTGAAACAGGCTGCATGGTGGTGGGGTCATCATTCCTGGAGGTGTTCAAGAACTCCAGAAACGTGGTGCTGAGGGACATTGTTCAGCAGGTGTGGTGGCAATGAGTTGAAGGTTAGACTAGATGATTTCAGAGATCTTTTCCAACATCAATGATACTATGAAAATCCTTAGCTGTCGGGACTGTTTTGGGAGTAGGTGAAACCTCTGGGGGTCCTACATACAAATATAACATCAAGTGTCTACTTTGTGCAGCCTATGTAGTCTCACACCATTCTCAGCAATGGGCCATTATGGGGACTAGAGAAGGTGGTTCAACACATACTGTAAGGGAAATGGGGCCAAACATCTCACTGAGTCTGGGAGGTGTCTACAGTGCTCTGAAAGAAGGTTGTACCAAAGGTGGGCATCAGCTTCTTCCCCCAGGTAACAGCAATAAGAGGTGATGGCCTGAAGCTGCACTGAGGGAGATTCAGGTTGGATTTTAGGAAAAAATCTAAGAGAGGTGATTCAGTGGCACAGGGTGGTGGAATCACCATCCCTGGAGATGTGACACTGAGGGACTGGTAGACAGACTAGGTGACCTTAGTGGTCTTTTCCAACCTTAACAATTCTGTGAGTTTATCTCTACATATAGTGCCACGTGTAATAGTTTTCCAGCCCAGCCTCTGAATTCAGGCTAATTTTGACACCCTTACAACAAACACAAACCCCAGGCCCACGCAGACACACTGACCCTGCGCACAGCAACCATCACACCTGGCTCTTCCCTGGCACCTCTCAGCCCTTGGGAAGGGCCCCCCAACACTGACAGGAACCTCTGCCCCTTTTGCCTCACAAGCAGAAAGGCTACAGGTGAGAGGATCTGACAGGTGAGAGGATAAAAAGGAGAAGCAAATACCAAAGCACCAGCGCTTCTCAAGGTACAAAGCAGGCAAGCGAAGAGCAAAAGGCACAGCGTGCCACCGAGCGACCAAACACCACACGCGCACACACACAACCACGAGTGAGGGCAAAGCGCTAAGATGGCGGGCGGGGCTTGGCTTCACCACGTGACCCTCACTTCCGGTCTCAGCGCAGGAATCTCCCGGAAGCCGGAAGCCGGCAGCAGCAAAGGGCGTTACAGAACCCCGCCCCGTATAGCCGCCCTCCCTGAGGGGAGCGGTGCGCTTCGCTCCTCCTACGGGCCGCTGCCAGTGGGTGAGCCGCCGCCCTGCTTCCCCTCAGAGCGGGCTCTGGGTCCGCGGCGGGCTGGGACAACTGTTGGTAGGGCTCGCTGTTCCCTCAGCCTGAGCGCCGAGGCCCGCGTTCAAGCGCAGGGCTCAGGTGGGTGCCTCCCTTCAGGCTGAGGTACCGTGCGGCCTCCCCGGGCCTCGCCCTTCTGCCAGTGTGGTGCTTTGGAGGCACCCAGCAGTGACAGCGCTGGGAATTGCCCCCTGCGGCACAGGGCTGCGTGGCCGGGGGTGTCGGTGCTGTCGGGGCAGGGGTGGGCCGGGTGTGTGCTG